TTCTCTCACTCTGTCTTTTTTTTCTCTCTCTCTCTTTATCTTTTTCTTTTGTTTTCTTTCGTTCCTCCTTATTCTCTTTCTATTCTTCATTTTTTTCGTATTTTTCGTCTACAACTTAATCGTGGCTAAACATTTACAGACAAGCACTTTTGCATTTTATACATACGCACACATACCAGCAAATTTACAAACATACGAACGTACGTACATACATACACAAAGAAGCATACATACGTACACACGTGCATACATACACATACACACCACAGACACATGCAGACCACATACTCACATACATACATACACATACATACATACACACATACATACACAAACATGCATACATTCATCCCAATTATACAAACCAACGGCTATAAACAAAGCTAGGCAGCTTTTTCCTTGATTTAAAAACGCCTGAAAAAAATTTCAGTTATAAATCTGATTAAAAAAAAACTGCTACCCACCTATTCAAGTAGACGTAAACACTAAATTATAGGTATTTATACAAAAAATGGTATAAATACTCTTGAAAAATACCAGCATGCATTTAATGAAGTGCAAAATTTATTGCTTAAATCTCTCTCTTACCAATACACGTGTTGCCATATTCACGTTCAATCAAAAATACAGACACCAAAATCGCAACTATACCAAAACATTTTGAAACACACAGACAAATTTCACAAAACAAAACACGCCTACACACTCACCCACCCACCCACCCACCCACCCACCCACACACACACACACACACACACACACACACACATAAATAGAACAAATAAACAAAATTAATTTATGTATGTCCGTGTCAGTGTATGTGTATGTATTAAATATACATGTATTTATTGTATATATGCACGTTTGTATGTATCTAAGAGTGCACGTATGTGTGCGCGCATAAGCAAGTTTGTGTCTTTAGTATGTATGTGTGTGTTTGTGTGAAAGTTTGTATATATCTTATTGGAGTGTGTGTGTGAGTATGTTATGTAGGTGTGGGAGTGTATGTTTGTGTTAGTACGTAGGTGTGTATGTGCGTGTGTGGTTTGTGTGTACGTGTGTGGTTTGTATGTGCGTGTGCACACACTTCCCTAGACTGTATAACAGTAAATTTTTCAATGCATGAAGGGCTGGTGTCAGACATGTAAGCTGAGATGACTGAGTTATTAAGCACAAGCACTTGAAAGTTCCTTGCTTTATGGTTCCAAGACTCTATCAAACCAGTACTTCTATATGTATGTATGTATGTATGTATGTATGTATGTATGTATGAATGTATGTATGTATGAATGTATGTATGTATGTATGTATGGATGTATGTATGTATGTATGAATGTATGTATGTATGTATGTATGTATGTATGTATGTATGTATGTATGTATGTAT